TAAAATTAACCCAACCACTAGGTCATCTTCACTAACAAACTGCCTTCTGGGTCTAAGGTAAGAAAACAGAGTCTGAAGGTGCTAGAAAAAGCAATGTCTGCAAGTAGCGTTGTTTTATCAAAGGCTCCCACATGGGAACTCTACAGGAGAAGCCTAGAGAATAAGCAGTCATCCAGGGTGCTCTGGGAAGAGGATATGACGTATGTAGACCTCTGTTTCCTTAAATGAAGAGAGATTTAAATTAGGCTACATTAAATGCCTTGTCCACCATGAGTATCTGTGATTCTGTGCTGGGAACAGCACACAAAGGGTAGGAAAGTACTGTCTGTTTAATTAGTGGTATATGGTGAAATCGCAAAGGGAGTCAAGGTCTCAGTAAGGTTCTTAATTGTGAACCAGGTGTCACTACATCCATACCTTTGATCACTGATATGCTCTACTCCAAAAACCTCTACTAGAACATGAAAGCATCCCCCCAGAGTTCAATATTCCCATGACAACCTATCATCTTGTCTCATTCAGTCACCTCATTTCATTTCAGGTACATAGTACCTTCTGCCTGGATCCTCAGATACTTCAAATTCTCTGAATATGCCTTTCTCTTTTAGCTTCTGCTTAATGAGAAAGTTATTTTTAATTCTTATTGTTTTCTTGAATATATTGAGAGTAAATCTCCTTTGTAAAATCTCCAACATTACCAGCACAGTCCAGACAACTATCATCTCATTCACAGACATCTGTCACAGCTGGCCTTCGAATTCATGACATCAGTGTACACAGCCAGAGAGATGGTATAGAATGGAAATTCTAGGCAAGTCACTCCTTGATTAAAACCTCTCTATGCATGCATGTTCATGCTGCTGGGCCGAAGAACACAAAGCTCTGACGAATTTGGACGATCTGACCTTTTTCACAGCCTCATCTTAGTGTGCTGTACAAGCCCTGGCCTGTGGTTAGTCTTTTCTTCTTACTGAGTTCCTGCTTCCTTGCACGGATTTCACGCCTGCTGCTACTGTTGTTGATGGGCTTACTCTACTTCTCTTTACAGGGCTCAGTTCACACACCCCACCCCCAAAGCTAGTCTTCTGTGAGGTCCACCATTTCAGTCTTCCCTTCTGTTATTGGTTTTAGTAATTAGAGTAGAAGGTGTAACACTTACTGAGAACTTATTACATGCAAGCACTGTGTTAAGTATTCTCTACATCTTAATTCATATTTACTGTAACCCCAAGGGTCTGCACACCACAGATATTCCATAGATATTTTCAAGCCCATCAAAAATAATATAGAACCATAGCTCTTGGGTGCTTTGAAATTTTATAACTTGTGTGTCTTAGGGAATAGCTAAATGTAAAGCTCTTTTGATGTTGGCATGTGTATATTAAGGCTATACTACAAATAACCAAACAGCAAGTTTTTGAGGGCAACATTCCTTAGGAAAGTTCTGCATTCTCAAAACTGTCCAAACATTCTGTCATTAATTCACCTGTAAATTCTTCAGTCTACTCAGTCAACAATTGTGTCAAGCACCTCATTTTTCTTCAGTTTTTTCACATTGTCTTTGAAGATTATGGTTTTCATACCAATGGTTCCTGACCTTTCTTCCTGTCACAAGCCCTTCCCCTCAGACAAAAGCCTGAAAACCCAAGAATCTCCTATTCATCTAAGTTTGAGAAATGTTAAAAGCTAAAAGAAAAAATTACCATAACTGGATTATGAAGAGGGAACATAATAAAATCTCACCTGTGTCCTGTGCAGGTGGCATTTTGACCCGAAGGAGGCACTGGTATGAAAGTGACCCGTGGGGAAGCCTGGGCTGACATCAGAAATCCCAAGGAAAGAATAATAAGCGCTACTGTGGTGCCTACAAAAACAATAATAAGCTTTTTACTGGAGAGCACTGACAGCATTATTGCAATACAGACTTGGTCTGACATCAAAGCTCTGAATGAAGCTCCTGGATTTATCTTCCCCAGAATAAAAAATGCTTTGCTATGTATGCTAATGGTCAGAAGAACTCTCTAATACACACCCATAGAGACTCAAAGAAAGTCAAGTTTCTGATAATCTTCAAGTCATCAAAAAAAAAAAAAAAGTCATGGAGAACTTAAAAGGATGATTTGCCACATATAGAATTCAACTTATTCTAAGAAGTACCTACGCAGGCAGATAGCAATCTTTCTATCAAGCCAGAAAGATGGCTCAGGAGGTAAACACTTGCTATGTAAGTCTTAGGATTTGCATTGGATTCCTGGAACCCATAGAATAAACAGAACCAACTCCTAAAAGATGTCTTCTAATCTCTACACATGAGTTGTGGCACATATCACTTGGCACTCATGCATTTGCACACACACAGAGCCAAGAAATCCTCCCAAAGGCATTTGATCAAATCAGATGTGAATTATCAAAGTCCCAGACTGATTATTTCTTAAGCAATGAAAAAAATCCTGCCTATTAAGAAGGGAATGGCAAACCAAAAAGGATATGCCACATGCAACCACTCACCTGTCCTGTTAATACTTGGGACTGAACCTTTGCTCTTCACTTTAAGAAGCAGTATTCACCATTACTTCTATCACTGAAGAGGTCAAATTTCTCCAGGTAGGGGAGGGTGCTCCTGCAATTCTAGTACTGGGAAGGCGGAGGCAAAAGAAGCACAGATCCATGCCAGCCTGTGCTAGAATGCAAGACCCTTCTAAAAAAACCATGTGCAGGGGTTGCAGCTCAGCACCTGCCTAGCACAAGGCCCTGGTCACATCTGAATATGTGTGTAAGCATGTGCGAGTGCACACACACATACACACATACACATACACACATTAAGCTTTTAATTTCTGTTCCAGGCACAGAACTGTGAGAACACATAAAAGAAGCAACAGGAAGGAAAAGATTTTGCTAGCTGAACAACTGACTGGGACATAGGGCAGTATTTTTATAGTATGGAGCTTAGGGAGAATGCACAGCACGAAATGAAATATTTTACTGAAATAATAGGCAAGCAATTTAGAATTCAACTTAAATTTAGAATTAACATTAAAGGATTAAGCAACAGAAGAGCCTTGGGAGACCATGTGGCAGGAGAGCAGGATGGCAGCAGCTGGATTGAGGTGACCTCTGCTGTTGCCCAACTTGCAAGCCTTGGGAGACCATGTGGCAGGAGAGTAGGATGGCAGCAGCTGGATTGAGGTGACCTCTGCTGTTGCCCAACTTGCATTGCGGTCAGAGTACATGGCCTTTCCCATGTTAATTTAGTCTTCTTTAAATGGGTCTTAGTGAAAACACACAGAGAAATTTTTGAAAATTTTAAATGCTACTATTTATTTTAAAGAATTTTGTAATGCTATGCAATGTATAAAAACATGAACTACTATACAATTAGTAGACTTGGTTGAAAAACAGAGAAAAGGCTAATATACCTGTTACCTATTTCTTCCATCTTTTCTCAAGGCTAAACACCTCTTCTTACTTCAACAGGTTTATAAATGCCTGCTTTAAAACCTCTGTCTCTCACTTGTCATCATTTACCTGGGAGCTTCCCAGTATCATCCTAAACCCTGGTTAACCTCTCACTTTGCTTCTATGCTAAGACTTAAACTCCTGGCCCTCGGCACAGGCTATCCATTGCCAAGGTAAGAACAGGAGTGGGAGTGTCCAGTTCATTCCAGAAAGGAAGAAGGAAGAAAGGAAAGGAAGGAAGGAAGGAAGGAAGGAAGGAAGGAAGGACTGAACTGAGTTTGGAAACCATAATTTTCTCACCCCAAACTGTAGTTAAGTGCTAAAGCAGTTTTGTGAGATGAAATTTTGTTTTACTTGTAATTTTGCTTAAAATAGAATTTAGTTAATACTACACTAAAATCTTTGTGTTTGAGTGTAAAACATGTATTTTATTCTAGATATAAAGTTGTTATGGGGATGCAACCAACTGATGAGTAGAACTGTTTGTTCATTTGGAAAACAAAAGAAAATACCTGAAGTAACCATGTAAAGACAATGTTAAAGGTGGATGCTATTCTGACCTGCAACAGAGCCCTTTACAGAGAAACAACCAGTGAAATGGCCAACTTTGAACACAAAGGACATTTTTGTTCTTTCTTATTTTGCTATCACATAAAACACACTTGACCCTACAATTTAGGCCTGTTTCAAATACTTTCCTTGATTTGTGAAGGAAGATTCCAAATAATTTCTTCTGTTCTATTCCAAAATATATAAAAAACACTATAGTGTTGTTGCAAAGTAAGAACGTAACATGCTTTTCAAACAAAGACAGAGAAAACCGTTCCTATGCTCTTCAGTTTTGAGTCTCCAAACAGCTCTCCAGCTGTTGACAGAAATGTATCCTCAGTCAATTGTGTTCTTACAGCTTTTTTCTTGTCACAGGCTTGTCTCCAGCCACTTACCCCAGAGCTAGTTGAAGGATCTTACCTTTCATTTATTTGTTTTCTTCTATCATTCTAGTTTGGCACTGTCTGGCTTAGAAATCATTCTGAGAAGCCACTGTTATCTTTTGGGAGAGTCACTGTCACTACTACAAGGTATTTTTTTTTTTTTTTTTTTGGTTTTTCAAGACAGGGTTTCTCTGTGTAGCTTTGGAGCCTATCCTGGCACTCACTCTGGAAACCAGGCTGGCCTCGAACTCACAGAGATCTGCCTGCCTCTGCCTCCCGAGTGCTGGGATTAAAGGCATGCACCACCAACGCCTGGCATTACAAGGTATTTTAAAAGCAGGATTCTATATCCAGTCACCTACCTGCCAAGCTACCAAAGGTAAGCTTCCTGCGACCCACTTTCTCAACGAGCCAGACTCCCACTAGTGTGAAAATGAAGTTGGTGAAAGCTGTCACTGAAGCCAGCCATATTGCAAGTTTGTCATCTTCCACGCCCGACATCTGCAGGATGGTTGCACTGTAGTACCTGCCAGTGAAGAAATGAATGATTGTTGTTGGTGGTTATTCAAGGGAACTGTCCATCAGACAGAAAGATACAGCCATCTGAAAAAAAAAATGGCTAATGACACTAACAGCATTGTTACAAGAATTCACATAAGCCCTTTAAAGTATAACAATGGAGGAACCTTTCTGAAGAGAGAAGGTTGAGTGTTTTCAAGATGAAATGTCCCATCTCTAACACAGTAGCAGCCAACTGGTTCCCTAAAGCCATCAGGGAGATGCTCTAAGCCAATGGGATGATCCCAATGTCCCTGTTCTCTGTGACTGAAGAGACTGAATACAATGTGGCAGTGGTGGCGGCAGAACATGTGAAGGGTCTCTGTAAGGAAGTACAGGAGAATGGTGTGTCAGGATGGATTTAGCTTGTACAGGACGAGGCACTGACCTATGCACACGAGAATGGCTCAAGGGCTTCTGGGAGACTGTGCTCTTCTTTGAGGTTGAGTCTCAACTCAAAGTCTGCAGACTCATCCTGTTTACATGAATTCAATGAGATGACTGTTTTCTCATGAAATACTTTTCTTTTGGAAGATTTCAAACACCAGTAGTGCATCCTGAACCGTGGCTTTGGCTAGCTTTGAGGGATTCTAAATCTGACAGTGGGTGTGTGAGCAGTATGTGAGATTAAGCTGGTTATTTTCACAGTAAAAAAAACCCCACAGTTTCTAGATATTTATCAATACTTACATAATATTTCAGAGATAAAAATCTGCCTTAAATCTGTTTCTTTGATTCATCAATGGCTTGTTTACTAGTTTTTAAGTTAATGGTTCTTATATGAAATATTAACAACATCACAGCTCATTCATCTTGACGAATTATTTTCCTTTTCAAAATAGCAATCCAAATTTATAAATTACTGTGCAGCAGGACAGATAGATTTTACTGATCACACTAAAAATTATACAAGCCATCTGAAGACTCTGAATGATGACAGCTATTATAAACCCACAAATCCCCGGTAGAATATCTCCTATCATGAAAATTGTGAATGTTTTCAGAAGATAAAGCAATGAAAAAGAGTGCCTGTGAATGTTAACCATTCCATCTGAACAGTGCTTTGCAATTTTCAAGTTCTATGGCACATGTGTATATAAACATATATATATATATATATATATATATATATATATATATATGTCGGGAAAGCAAGGGTATGTGTATCTTCTCCAGAAGAAAATAAACACCAACTCTAACAAGGCAGCAATATTCAGGAAAACTCAAGTATGGTAAAAGAACAATTGTAAATTGTACAGGTAGAAGACTACTTGTACCAATGTAAGGATCAATAACATAAATGAAAAAGAGTCAAGATGCATTTCCATAGCATGAAATTAAAACTAGAATGGTTGGGTTTGATAATATTTAAAGCAAACAACTGAGCAAAACAAAATTGAGTTTTCCTGAATATTTTCCTTCTGTCTTATTTTAAAGGTGTTTGATCGTGTATGTCTATATAATTTTGTCTGTTATATGGACAGGATTTTTGCATTTATAATAAGGTGAACTATAAAAGAACCTCAAGTAAACTAATTTAAAAAAATGTTGCCAAGTACCATAAGAGTAACAGAACTGGGCTGTCTTCTGGGATTTTGTTTTTTACTTTTTTGTTGTTGTTGTTTGTTTGTTTTTTTGTTTTTGTTTTTGTTTAAATGGAGTGTGCTGGATGGCTCTACAATTTTGTTCAAAGGACTACAGAACCTGGAAAAGCTGTTGCTGCTATTGATGCATAACATATTGCCATTATTGCTCTTTTTATGTAAATATAAATATATATATGCTAAAAAAGGGTGCAGTCAGGGGGTTATGGATGATGTTTTGGGTTTTGTATCAACCTGAGCATAGCATCCAATTTATTTAATCAAAACAGCCTTGTTCTTATTGACTGACTTTATAATAAGTAAAGATTATAATCTGTATTCAGAAAATAAATCTGCACAACTGAAAAACAAACAAACAAAAAAGAACCTCAAGTATGTAATGCTGAAAAGGTTTGGTACCTGCTTTGTTACTTCATGCTAGTATTCTCTCAGTGTTTTAGCGACAAAACCAGAGACATTGAACAAAACCATTCTCAAAAAGACCTATGGACAGCTAAACAAGACTATTTTGATATTTACAACTTTGATTTGAAACTCATGCAGTTGACAGGGTTAATTTAGAGAATGTGAAAGAGAGTAGTATTAAACTAAGTTGTTTGAGTTTACTTAAAATAAAACATTATACAGGTGCAAAAATATGATATTACTAGAGCTTTAGGGCAACCTGCAATCAGACACTGTTCTGTGATTCAAAAACCCCAATTCACAAGTTATCATTGCAATATGTTGTCCACATAAATTAATCTTCATTTGAAGATTATTATGGGTTGGGCACTGTCGCACAGGTTGGTATTAGAGAATAAAAATGGAAACAAGTCATTTTACTTTACAATGTGGACTAAGGAATGGAAGAACAATTCATTGGTTGTGTAATGTTCCTTGCTATCTCTGAAATTGAATGGTGTGCAGCCATGAAGGACCATAAGGGTTTTCTAGCAGGCATGACAATCTGGAATAGCAGTGAAGGCAGAACAACTGGAAGGGTGGAGATGTTTTATCTAGAACCCCACCATTTTATTTGGACTGAACATAAGGTGCACATAATAAACAGAGGCTGCTCATTGATCCCCCTTGCACACTGAGCAGCTCCTAAATGCAATTATGGTTGGGCTCTGTCTTGCAAACAATGGAAAAATCAAATGGAAGAGAAAGCACAAGAAAACAAGACTGCTCTGGGGAGCTTCTGGGTAAGATGACAGGCTAGAACCTGCCTCTGTCTGATCTGGTGACAGAATGAGCAAGAAAGCCTCCAATTCAATGACGCAAAGAGGGTGAACACCAGAAACCTGCATGATCAGCACTAGGACATTGTCAAGTACAAACACAAGTGCCAAGAAGAAAGCCTTTCTGAGCACAGCTGCAACTATGTGGTTACACGGCAGGGGAAGGGGAGCAGACGTCTCATCTAAAGTGCTATTGGCAACATGGATCCTGCAAAATCCAGAACACCTCACCTGCTGCTGATTTCAAAGATGCTGAAATAGATCAAAAGCCAGATTAAGATCTCAAAGTTGACAAAAAGGACCAGTGACCTCAAACAAGCAGATGAATAAAGCAAGGAAATCATTCAGGCCCTGGAGAGTAATGTCAGTAAGACACTAAAGGAACAAAGTAGGAAAAAAGAAAGTTTTGATCACGGGAGCAGAGAAAAAAATACTATGAGAAGAATATATAAGTAAAAGAGAGATAAGAAAGAGCCCATTACACCCAACACAGTGAACTAGAAACCCATTAACGTCAGTACGGTAGAAAGGAAGAACAAAGGGCAATTCAGCCATCTAGCAAAAGAACTTCCAAAAAATTAGCTAACTTTCTCAAGTATAACTTAAATTCAAATAACCTCCACTCACTAATAAAAATATGCAGACTTGATGACTGAATTAAAAACAAGACTCAACTGTCTGTTCTCTTCAGGAACACATCTCCCTTGCAAACACACACACACACACACACACACACACACACACACACACACACACACTACAGCAAATTTTAAGCAATGAAGGAGTATTTTAATGTAACTCATATAGTAAATCAGTGAGTACACAAAGCATTCCTTATGAGCTTTCAAAACTATTCTTTAGCTTCTTGAGGCCATAGCCCTTTCCACTTCTGTCAATCATGTATATTAAACAGATATATTAATAGTTTATTGAGTTAATTAAGATTTATTTACCACAGACTATCAAAAATAATTAAAATTATTTTCTTATAATGTTCTTACATTAAAATAATTTTTCTTATAATTTAAGAAAAGCCTATTGAACAGGTTATATTTAGATATATATATGTATATACAAATACATATATGCATGCAATAACAATTAGTGAAAAAAGAAGTCATGAATTTTAAGGAGTGGGAATAGGTATGTAGGGGGGTTTAGAGGGAAGAAACGGAATTGAGAAATGTAATTATATTATAACCATAAAAATAAAGTAAAAGAAGCTCACAGTTCAAGTCACTTGCTATAGTCAATGTGGATGTGGTAAAAGAAAAAGAATACGGTAAACTTTATCTACCATCACAGAAAATTAGCCCTAGAAGTTTCAGTCAAGACAGAACAGAAAGTGATGGTGTTAACTTTCTTATAAAATGAAAAACAAACTGTCCTAGCATAAAACTATGAAAATGTTGCTGCCATAAGTCAAAGTACATGGAACATGCCTTTCTGGCAGTAAGGGCTCTCTTAAGTAGGTCAAGCTAACTGAAAACATTTAGTCACAAATACATTAACATGGCACCAACCTTGGATGTTCCAGCATTATAGACAACTTCTACCAGTTGTCACTGTTTCTGGCCTGCATATCAACTGCATGGGCTATGTTTGGACTGGAATGTGGTCTGGTCAATGAGAAGATCAAATTATGGAGCAGCTGATCAACTATAAGTGCTAGAAAATTCACATTCAAGTTTCATTTTTGGGCTCTTTAGTTAGCTCCTAAGAAACCTAGTCTATTTTTATAAGCCATATGTAATAGTGTACTGATGACATAATTTAAAATGCCATGATGATAACCCTAGAATTTGAGGAGACAGCATGGGCTATAAAATAAGATGCTATCTCAAAACAAATGAATACTCCACTCCAAACAAACACAGTAAAAGGTGGAGGGAGAGACATTATTTTAATTGAAAACTATTTTCCTATTGAAACAAAATAGGGACATCTATGAAAAATAAATCAATAGCATTAAAAGGAAAAGATTACAATCAAGATATAAAAGTTGTTTTAAAGCAAAACTATCAAAGGTATTTTATGTAATCTGTGTGAAACTATTACAAATGCAAGATATAAAGCCAAAGATGAAAGTTACAAAACTAGAAATTAAGATTGTGCCTACATCACATCAGGCCCGAGTTCTG